CAAAGCCTAAAGGTAGCTCAATTGAACCCAATTTCAATAAACTCCAAGAACAAGACTCAAATGTAACATGCATGAGCTTATATGAACTTAAAGCTTCAAACACAAGATCAAATGAGCCAATCATTCCAAAAACGTGGTGAATTCATGATTATAACAATAATATGGACATGCATGTAATAATTTTCATGAAAACAACTCTAAACTTCAAGATATGGACATGCATGCATGATTCAAGCTTCAACTCAACAATTTGAGCCATATCTTGGCTCTAGACTTCAAAATTAACATGGACCATGCAAGTCACAACTTAAATTCATATACCAAAGGATGAATATCCTACCTTAGGTCCTCAATTTCAAATGTAGAAGCTCAAAAATGCAATCCTCTCTTCAAAACTTCTAATTTCAAGCAAGAATTCTAGATGAATTCAATGTCTCCAACACTCTAGCTCTCTCTCACGTTTGGTCTTAGAGGAAATGAAGAATGATGCAAGACTAAGCTTCAAACAACATTTGGTGAAGTGGCCCACTAGGTGGCAAAAGAGTAAATAAGTCCAACTAATGTAATTTAGCTTATTTAATCCAATTTAATCATAACAGAACAAATTTCAATTAAACATACCATAAAATTACATAAATTCTATTTAGCATAAAGGACTAATCGATTTCAGATTCGGCCGGCAATAAGGCCTTCAATTTACAGTTCGAAACATAAAACATGAACAGATCATTTGAGCATGTGTTACTGCAGTTGTGTTGCCATGAGCCACAGGCTAACTGGGGCCTACTTTTCCTTGGGTTTGATTTTGCACTCTGGCGGGGATAACTCTACCGCCAGTTTGATTTCCGTTTGGCGCCGGTGCAAAATTAGAACTCATCACCAACATGGTGTGAGTGAGATTCTGAAGAGTGGTAAGAATCTCCTGCTGAGTATTTTGAAGTCCTTGAATGGCTTTGAGTAAATGTGGTTGATCTGGAGCCATGGTCCTATCATCGCCACCGTTAGAGGATCCTTGTTGGTGAACTTCATCTTTTCCCGCTATCCTTGCTGGAGTTATGTGGGTTCCAGATTTCGTTGAGACCATTAACCAATCCACCTCCCCAACAGAGTCGCCAAATATATGAGAGGGTTCAAGAATGTTGCTGGAAAATTAGAAGATATTCGAAGATCTTCAAAGATCTTTGAAAAAGACTCGAATTTTATAGAAATGAGAGGCTTAGATTCTTCAACAGTCACAACTAGGAACATAATAGCAAAGAGATGATGGAGATAAGAGATTGGGTGAACAAGAAGGCAAAGTAGTTAGAGAGAGAATAATGATAAGGCTCTCCCATGGATCTCTCACTTTCACTTTGAAGGTAGATAATGGAGAAGGAAAATTAATTTTTTCCCAAGAGTTGTTTCTCCAAAATCCATCCATTATAAAGCTATGGGTGGATGCTATTTTTAGGTACCTCATAATGTAGGATAGAGCCCATGTGCAAAGCACATGAGAAATATTCTCTCTAACCATCTTGTCCGATAAGGTGACCTTTCCAAGGATAAGGAAAATCCCGAAGAGGAGAACCCTTCTTTTTAGCCCTAACCAATGATCCCCACTCATCCCAAAGGGCCGAGGTAGTCCTAGAGGACCCCCCGTTACTAAATAATGCCGAACCCTCTGGGGTCGTGCCACCTCGACCCTAGTATAGACTAAATTAACTGACGAGTGAATTCATCCCCACCCCTCATCCTCGAGATTCGGGCCCTTTGTTCGGGCTCTAACCTCACTCATGATTCTGGTGGGTTGATCTCGGAATGCTCCAAGTTCGCAAATGTTCTAGGACTCACCAGTGAAGCGACTTCTAGATTGCGATCGAATCTGTTCGAAGCACAAGTGCCTTGGATCTTTAGGCTTGCTCAATACCCTTTTGAATCCGAACCCGAGTAAGTCTTTAAGTTCATAGAACCGAACCCTTTCGAGATTTAGAGTGATTCGGCTCGTTTGATGACGATAAATCGAGGCCCATCAATCTTGGATTTGTGATAAATTTAGGCCCACCAACCTTGGACTATTGGGCCTAATTAATTTAGTGGGTTCAAATTAACTCCTCTTACAACAAGAATTTAAATTAATTAGATATTTGTAACTCACAACAAAATTACGTTTTTGTTTTAAAAAAAAAAATGGTTAGCATGATTTGATAAATTTTTATAATTATTATTTGTCTCGATTATGGAGTTATACTTGTTAAATTAATTTTATTTTTTATATAAAAAATACACTTAGTAAATTTTGCAATATAAATAATTCAAATTATCAAAAATATGATAAAAAAAAAATCAGCAAGTGACACAGCGTGGGTGCTCCAAATCCCCAAACACCAGAACATTAGCGAAGATTTTGTCTGACCTTTTTTTGGGGTGAATAAGATTGTGTGGGGCGCTAAGAAAAATGCGTGGGAGCACTAATTAGTGTTCCCACTAATTAGGTGGCAGTGGGTCTCGCCATTAATGATGTGATGTTTTGATTTTGGAGTTGTGTTTTTTTTTTTTTTTTTACTTTTTTAATGTATTAGTGCTATTAGTGGCGATGTTTTTAGTGGGATGAATTATTGTTGGGGGCGCTAATTATAGAAAGTGTCGGCCTTCCCCTCTGTTAACGATGTGAATTAAAGTGTTGTTTTTTGGGTGAATAAAAAGATTGTGTGTGGCGCTAATTATAGAAAGTGCTGGCCTTCCCTTCGGTTAACGATTTGGTTTAAGGGTGTTGTCCACGTTCGGAGGGTTTTCGTGAGTCCTATTATTTTAATAATTTAAATTATTTATTTTATAAGTTTTTTTTATATATATTATTAATAAAAAAAATTAGATTAATTTAATATTCGTAACTTATTTAATTTATTGTATTTATCTATTAAAAAAAAGACGATTAATATAGTTTTGAAAATAGACTATTTATTTTTATTTTATAACAAATGAGATAAATTAATAAATTAATATTATCGGATTAACCTTTTTTTTTTTTATCAATAATATGCACGAAAGGACTTACAAAATAATGATTGAAATTATCAAAATAAAATTTGTGATAAACCCTATAAACTTGAACAATATCTCCTAGTCAAGAGGGAACTATGGCCTATAGAGAAACCCATCGCTATGAGAAGTTATTCGTTGGTCTTGGGGCCTAACCACGTGGTATCCTAGTTATGTTTTGATTGTTGAAGAGGTGGACATACAATTTTACGTTGAATGATTGGAGAGCATGAAGGGATATAAAGATTTGTGATTGGCCTCAGACGTGATCACGTGATATCCAAGAAACAACCAATAATTTCTTCATTGCTATTCATGTACTCTCTCTGTCCTAAGATAATAGTCTATTTTGGAGAATTTAACTAATATAATTATTAAAAAAATTGATTTTCCACAATTATCCTTTAATAGTATATTTTTTGAGAAATATCAATTGTCATAATTGTACTTTTTGTGTTGTCAATAAATTTAAAAGAAGAGCAAAATAGGAAACTCATATTATTTTAGTCTTTAATTTTTTAAAAGGAACTAATATTTTAAGACAATAAAAAATAAAATAAGGGGTTAATATTTTCGGACAGAAGAAATACTTTGTTATGCAATGATACGTACTATTCCCGCCGTTGATTATAAAATGATTGTCATTGTTGATTTCAAATTAAAATATTTATTATTGTTAGTTAAAATTTTAAAAATATCATCGCAATGTCATTATCCAATTTTATGGATGAAAATTTTAGTTGTTTTTATTGCAACATGATTTTACCAGAGTAATATTATATTTATCACTTTTTATATCACTATTAGTGTATTATTTAATGTGTCAATAGTTACATTCGAGATGACTATGAGTGGTAAGACCTATTATACTAATAATATGCTGTTGATACATAAAACGATACACTTAAAATGATAAGTGTAGCATTGCACACACATTTCACTAACATACGTATGATCACATTTTCCTTCTTTCATAAAAATAACTAATCTTGGTTAAAAAATAAAATAAAAAGGAATAATTTTATGAATCCCACTTAACTATTTCAAATTTATCCCAAATGAAAGTGTGTGGTTGATATTGAATTTGTCTAGTGTAGAATTACATGTATAATAAATTTAAATTATAATATCATAATTCTAGATAATTTGTAGACAATGAATTTGAATTTATAATATTACTAAATAAAACATAAATAAATAAAAAGATTTTTATTTTAAAAAATAATATGTGATAAAAGATTTAATTCTTGTTGTCCTATTAGAGCATCTCCAACCCAGTAGGCATATAATGTTTATTAGTCAAAATGCCTAATGTGACTCACTTTTTTCAACTCCAATGCACTAGGCATATGTTAGGCATTTTGGCTCAGCTCACATTCACTAGCTACATGTAGCTAGCCTTCAAGGCTAGGCAAAATGTATTTAATCATTAAGATTATTTCCCTCCATTTTTGTTGCTGATGTGGCATTCTATAAAGTTAGAGCATCTCCAACGGTAGTAGGCATTTTACCTATCTAAATATTACTATAAAGTATATATTTTATTTTGCCTATCAACTGTTTTATGTTTTTACTCCAACCATGCTCTTTATTTTAGCTATTTATCCAAATACTATTAATTTTATAGAATGCCACGTCAATAACAAAGATGGAGGGAAATGATCCTAATGATTGAACACATTTTGCCTAGCGTTGAAGGCTAGCTACATGTAGCTAGTGAATATGAGTTGAGCCAAAATGCCTAATCATATGCCTAGTGCATTGGAATTGAAAAAAATGAATCACACTAGGCATTTTAACTAACAAGTATTATATGCCTTGTGCATTGGAGATGCTCTAATAGTATTTGGATGAATAGCTAAAATAAAGAGCATGATTGGGGTAGAAACATGAAATCGTTGACAGGCAAAATAAAATGTATACTTTATAATAATATTTAGATAAATAAAATGCCTACTACCATTGGAGATGCTCTTATTCCCTTCACAATTATAAATAACAGCCATTACTTCTATCCCAGCCTCTAAGCCTCGTAACCATGCTCCAAAGACTAATCACCTTCACCACCTCACATACTCTGTCATGGTGGTTGTGGACGACCAAAAACAATGACAATGAGCTTTTGTTGTCAAGCATACATCTCACTGCTACCGTGTTGGTCATCCTCATCACCATGTCATGGTTTGCATGGACATTCATCAACCAATCAAAAAAGAACAACCCACGACCACCATTGCCACCAGGTCCTCACACCCTACCCCTAGTTGGGAACCTCCTCTCTCTTGACCCCGAGTTTCACAAATATATCACAACCCTGGCTAAGACCTACGGTCCCATCTTCACCCTCTGGCTCGGCCAAAAGCTCACCATCGTAGTCAGCTCTCCCGCCATCGCACGCGAGATGCTCAAAGACCACGACACCACCTTCGCCAACCGCGATGTCTCTGTCGCGGCCAAGCAGTCTGCCTACGGTGTTGGTGACGTGGCGTGGAGTCACTACGGCTCCGAGTGGCGGATGCTCAGGAAGTTGGCCGTGCATGGAATGCTCTCCAACACTCGGTTGGACTCTGTCTACAGTCTTCGGCGCGGGGAGATCCGGAGAACAATCGGGTATATCTTCCGAAACCTGGTCGGGTCTCCGGTGAACATAAGTGATCAAATGTTTTTGATTCTGTTCAACGTTGTTACGAACATGTTGTGGGGTTGTAGCATTGAGGGGGAGGATAGGGTTAGCATCGGGTTCGATGGGATGATTCGGTTGTTGGGGAAGCCTAACATATCGGATTTTTATCCGGGTTTGGCCCGTTTTGATTTGCAGGGGATTGAAAAGAAGATGAGAGGGGTGATGAAACGGGTGGATGAGATCTTCGACATGATGATCGATCAACGGATGAAAAGGGATGGAGAGGGTGGGGAGAAGGAGAGTAAGGATTTCTTGCAATTTTTGTTGGAGCACAAAGATGAAGGAGGTGAAGCCAAAACCCCTCTCACCATGGCACAGGTCAAAGCTATGCTCATGGTATAATTCCTGGAGCAAGGATCCTCTAGAGTGATTTTTTTCTAAAGTTTCTTAGAGTACTACATTGTGTGGTTGACATTTACTGGCAAGTCACATCAATTTTTCTGATGTGACTTGTCAGTAAATCTCAACCACACAATGTAGCACTCTAGGAAACTTTAAGAAAATTTCACTCTAGAGGATCCTTGGTGTAATTCCTGTCCTTCCCTCATTCATCTCCCGCCCTTTCTTTTTTTCACCCAAAAAAAATCTCCCCCCCCCCTTTTTTTTATCATTTTATATTGGAGTGGACTTTTTCAGATTTAAAATCTAAATTTTACTATACAGTCATGCTGCAGACCCAGGACCTACAACTCCCACATTATTTGTGAGAGAGAGAGAGAGAGAGAGAGAGGGGGAGGGAAGAGAGAGAGAGAGAAGGAAAAAAAAAAAAAGGGGTCACCAATCAATTCGGGATTGTGAGGGTCACAAAATTTGGGAGTCTCAAGTTTTATTATATATTAGTATTTGTGGATTCACCACGGATTCTATTTTGATTATTTGAACAGTTCATTTTGTAAAATTTTTTGTTTATATTATTCATAAAAAATAAAAATAAAAAATTAAATTTATCTGATAATTATAACATTTTTATTTTATCGCGTTTGGCTCTAAAAAGTAGATAATCTTCTCTTTTTTTTTTCTTGATCTGTATGTGTGCTTGTTTTTTAATATAACTGTTTTATATGGTCTAATAAAAAAAAGAAGCGAATTTAAAGTGAAAGTCATGAATTATATAATTATATTACAATGATGAAGATGTTAGGAATTATTAAGAATGAGAAATGTTACTAATTATTCGTAAGAAAAGTTATGATATATTGTGATATTTGTTATGAAATATTATGATATATAGAGTAAATATTTTTTTTGATCAACAAAAAATAAACTTTATTAATGAATCTACATACAATACATATGAAAAATAACCAAAAGAATATGTTGAAAACTAGAGAGAGTGATAATGTGATTTGGTGTTTTGGCTCCCCCTAAACGATGCCCAAGTATACATAACCAAAGAACAGAAAAAATAAATAAATAAATAAAAGAAAATAGAGAAATTCCATCCGTTGTACCTGCATAAAAAAATATCAATTGAATTAATTTATTATTTTTTTCTTTTTTGATTAAGAAGATTACGTGTTAATGAAGCACCAGTGCAGACAATAGTCTCAGGATTTTTTTTTCTTTTTTTGGTTTGGTGTGTGTGTTCATTGTGGTTATATGACTAGAGCCATTTGATTTCTATCATTTTCTTTTCTTTTGGTCATCATTTGATGGGCTCTGCATGCAGTAACCACCAAAGCAGTTGTATGATGAAGCCATTGATCATCAAGTTATATTGATCTATACCATGCACATATAATTCTAGTATTCAATACAAGTTATAATTGGTGATTATATTAGCATCCTCAAGAGTAATCCATGGACAGGATATGGTGGTTGGTGGGACGGACACGACTATCAACTCAGTCGAGGCTGCCATGGCTGAGATGATGAACAAACCACAAGTGATGCAAAAACTCCAACTAGAACTAGACACAATAGTGGGCAAAGATCACATAGTAGAAGAGTGTCACATCCCCAAATTACCATACTTATATGCAATAATGAAAGAGACTTTGCGTTTGCATCCGATCCTCCCACTCTTGATGCCTCACTCCCCAAGTGAGACATGTACTATTGGAGGTTACACAATTCCAAAGGGTACTCGTATCTTATTTAATGTTTGGGCAATACATAGAGACCCTTTGATTTGGGAAAACCCTTTGGAGTTTGATCCGGAGAGGTTTTTGAACGGTAAATGGTATTATAATGGGAATGACTTTGCTTATTTTCCATTTGGGTCTGGTCGAAGAATTTGTCCCGGGATTTCAATGGCGGAGAGGGTATTCATGTTTTCAATAGCTTCACTTGTACACTCTTTTGAGTGGAAATTGCCTGAAGGAGAGAAATTGGACTTGACGGAGAGCTTTGGGATCGTCTTGAAGAAGAAGATTTCTCTTGTTGCAATTCCAAGCCCAAGATTATCAGATCCAGGACTTTATGAGTAAGGCTCCAAAAATGTGCTTGCATTTCCCTATGGTATTATGCATTATGGATGTTGAATTTGTTATGTGTGTAGTGTGTGTCCTTTGTATTGTAAATTTGTGTTTGGTTATCTATGCAATTTTCTAAAAAGTTGACTTTTGCCGACTAATATTATTTTTGGTAGCCAATTCCGTGACTTTTGGCGACTAAATTCGTTTTGGTAGCTAAAAGTGGTCGGCAAAAATGCTTTTTCTTGTAGTGAGCCCCCATGTGGAGGTGGGGGTGCTAGGGTGCCTCCGTACTTGGGGGTGCCAATCACTGCTCTTTTATGACTCTTTATAAAATGTGAGAACTAGAGGGTCAAGGTGTAGTGATGGAGACCTATATATATTTATGGTACTTGAAATTTGTACTAGAGGATGAGAAACCATGTCTAAAGAATAAAATTTGTTCTCTTCTTCTGAGCAAATACTTTCTTGTCTTTGCAATGAAATCAATACAAAAATATTTGGTTGATATTTATTTGTTCTCTTCTTCTGAGCAAATACTTTCTTGAATGTAAAAAATGCTTTTAATTCAGTAAAAAAAAAAAAAAAAAAAAAAAAAAAGTTTCTTATTCTTCATTCAATTTTTTTTATTTTTTATTTTATTTTCTTGTATTCCAATTACACTAATTAGCCAGACTCAATTAAATTAGTAATAAACATAAATGGGTAAATGAGTAATTAGGTATCATAAAATATTTCATAATGATTTTCCATCATTCAATTAGTGTGTAATGTTTTATGGTATGGTAATCCAAGGATGAAGAATCTATGTGAAATATTTCATAATATTTTTTTTATTAATATTACTTTTTCCCTAAACTCCTAATATGTTGGATATTAAGTTTTGGGAAAGATGTGTTTTTGGAATCCTAGAACACCTTTTATAAGTTTTTTATTTTAATAAATCTCTATTTAAAAATATATATTATAACTTTCTAAAAGTACAATATTGTATGTGTTTGAGTATCTAAAACAAACCTAAATCTATTATTCTACTCACACAACAATGATGGAGAGCTCTAATTTTAGAGTTAGAGCTCTAGTGATATGGCAAGAGAGAAGAAGAGGGAAAAAAAAAAAAAAAACATAGACACATACATCACATCACATATGGGCCACACTCATTGCCACATCACTAGATATCTCTTTAAAGGTCTAAAATTAGAGTTCTCAATCTTTATTCTTTACTCATACATAACCAAATAAGAGCAATGATACATATCCTAATTTTGGAACTCTAATTGAGGTTTAATGATATAGCGAGAAATTAAAAAAATAAAATAAAAAAAAGCCAAAATATCATATCACAAAGAGGCCCACTCTTATTAGAGCTCATTAGAGCTTTTTTATTAGAGCTCCAAATCATTTTTGACCAAATAAATATATCAACAATATTTTTCAAGAGCAATGATATATAACTCTAAATTTAGAGCTCTAACAAGGGCTCTAATAAGGTGATAATGTATTAAAAAAATAAAAAATAAAAAATAAAATAAAAAACCAAAACATCAAAGGAAAATGTTTGGGAGCTCTAGAAAATGAACTCTAATAGTTCTAATGTGTGTGTAGACCCTATCTGATATGATGTTTTGGCCTTGTGTTTATTTATTTATTTATTTATTTTTATTTTTCACATCACTAGAGCTCAATTAGAACTCTAGTTTTGGGGATATGAATCACTATTGAATATCAAATCAATGGGTGGGTCCCACCTATTAGAGTTCTTTTAGAGCTCTTGGTTTAGAACTCTCAAACATTTTGCAATTTTCAATTGTTTGATCTTAATCGTGAAGAGCTTGCATGGTAGATTATTTTCAACAAATAAAAACATTTTAGGTAATCAGTGTATTTTTGTTCTGCTTAAGATTTCTACTCTTTTAACCTTTTTTTTTTCTCACAAACTTTTCACTGCCTCTAAATTATTATTATTATTATTATTATTATTATTATTATTATTATTATTATTATTATTATAAGTAAAAAAAAACTTTATTGATGAAATCAAACTTACAAAAAATGAATTCTATCAATAAATGGAGAAAAATGTAATAAAAATCACAATATAATTTTAAGATCCCAACTAAAAAACATACACAATCACTTGCTAGCACCAACCTCAAAGTTGGTGAGGAACTAACAAAAACAAAACAAAAAAACAACAACAACAAACTCAAAATAACAAAAGCAACACCACCACCAAGCAACCCAAACACCAAGCTCAACAACAACACCATTACCAAGCAGCCCAAACACCAAGCTCAACAGATGATGATGCAATTACTTTAATGGTGGATGGGTCGGACTGATCCACGCTTCCAACAGGTCTGCTGGCCTTTGTGTCCTCAAAGGGTTCCTACAAAGGGTCCATAGGGAGAGATGATCCCCCGATGGACGCTCCGACGATCAAGTTAGGTTAGAGCAGATTGGCTTGAGAGAGAGAGAGAGAGAGAGAGAGAAGTAAAGAGATAGAAAAACTTAACATCGACATCGACGTATCTCGAAAACTTCCTTATAGCTTTTGCTCATTATTTCCTTGTCCCTTCCAAGTTATCTTGTTGGCCGAAAGTCTATAGCCTAGTTGACATCGTTCATGGTGAGTCTGCTTCTTCCGGCGTGAGGGGTCATTGTATTTAATGCTACAAGGGCCTCATTAAATAGCTGATGCGTGGGTGCAATAACTTTGCAGGATTTTTGTCTGCTTATGTTGTTAGGCTTCTACCTAACAAGTGTTTGAGTGCTATTGGTCATGGCCCAGCATTGATTTCTCAGAGTTGCTGGGCTTTAATATCTGGGTTGTGAGCTGGGTCCTGATTTGTGGGCTGGGCCCTATTGAGTGCCCATTAGTATTAGTAGTCTCACATTCCCAAGTACAACTTTCGTCCAACGGAGGGAATAACAATGTAAGAGGTAGTCCTTTAAGGCCGGGAAAGGCAAGGGCGGGGAGGTCTGCTTGGAGAGTGGCAAATTGTCAGGATGTCCAAACATGAAGAATGACCGGCAGGCCAACCGACTATGAGGGTGGTCAATGGGGAAGAACGACCTGTAGGCTGGCCGACCGTAAAGGTGGCCAAGCATGAGGGAAGACTGTCAAGCTGGCTGACAGCAAATGGAGAGCAAAGATGACCAGAGGGTCATCATGTGGGTAGTGAACGCCGGTGCAGTTTACGTCCGTAAAAGTGATCGGTTCAGACCATTGCTTGAATTGTTTGTAGAGGCAGTCTACTATTGTGACGGCCTTATCAGAGCCTTGCCTAATTTTTCTGAGTTCAGCTCGTTGTGCTGATCGAGATGGTTCGCCGTACGCAAGCCCTCCGACGATGACTTTGATCTAGCCTACTAGAGGGGCGGGACCGCCTTACGCGCAGGGTTATTGTGGAGCCCGATCATACTGCCGCCTAGGTGGTTCAAGCTGTCTGAGAGGAATTTTCCACAAACGGCGCCAATTGATGATGCAATAACTTCAATGGTGGATGAATCGAACTGATCCACACTTCCAACGGGTCTACTAGCCTTTGTGTCCTTAAAGCGTGCCTGCAAAAGGGTCCATAGGGAGAGATAATCCCCTGACATACGCTTTGACGATCAAGTTAGATTAGAGCAGATTGGCTTAAGAGAGAGAGAGAGAAAGAGATAGAGAAGTAAGGAGATAGAAAAGCTTAGCTTCGACGTATGTCAAAAACTTCCTTATATCCTTTATTCATCATTTCCTTATCCCTTCCAAGCTGTCTTGTTGGCCGAAAGTCTATAGCCTAGCTGATATCGTTCATGGTGAGTCTGCTTCTTCCGACATGAAGGGGTCGTTACATTTAATGTTATGAGGGCCTCATTAAATGGTTGATGTGTGGGTGCAATAACTCTGCAAGATCTTTGTCTGCTTACGTGGCTAGGTGTCTGCCTGACAAGTGTTTGAGTGCTATTGGTCCTAGCCCAACATTGATTTCTTAGAGTTACTGGGCTTTAATATCTGGGCTGTGAGCTAGGCCCTGATCCGTGGGTTAGGCCCTCTTGGGTGCCCATTAGTATCAACAAACATAGAGCAATATCATCAGACCACTTAGACATATCAGTACCAGCAGACCATAACACATATCATCAGCCTAATTAAGCTCAAACTCTGTTCCTCATGCTCTGTTCCTTATTCTTCAACTCAGCTACAGTTAAGAAGAGGAGAACCTAACCTGATGCAATTAGAAACTAGGTCATGCACATAGTACTTGCATTCCTTATTGTGAGCATTGACCTATAGAGCAATTCTAACATATCAACTCACAGAGCTTCTCCATCTGAATCTATTTCCCATTAAAGATACACTCATTTTTAAGTTTCCAAATAAACCACATTACTGCTAGTTGTATGGCATTCCAAATTTTATTTTCCAATTTCTTCCATTTAAAACCCCTCTACTACTCAAGTAACCGAACCACCTTATCAGGCATTACCCAAATTAAACCCCACCAATTCATAAGATTCGACCAAAGCCTCCAGATAATAAGACACCTAATATATCTAGGAATTTATATCATATATATATATTAACAACATGATTCATAGATTCAACTTCAGCTTTACAAAAAATGCATTCAGTACTGACATTCTGGCCATTTATCTGACACAAACACTTAGCAAGATTTTTGTGCTTCAATTTTTAACTTGTCAGTTAGTTTGATTGTTTGTTAAGGTCTCGTTTGACAAGTGTTAAATTGACTAAATATATAAAAAGACAAAATAGACTAAATAAGCTAATAAGATAAAATATCACATCCAAATCATAATCATTTTATTTTTTCTCTTACAACAATCACATCCAAACTTAAAAAAAAAAATACACTAAATTAACTATTTCCAAAGGAAGGCTAAGGTAGCGTTTAGTAGAGTTTTTTAAATATGATTTGAGAATAGGATCTGTATTTTGAGTTTATAAGTTTTGGAATTATGATTTGAGTGTAGAAAATTTGTTTGGTGAATGAGTTTTGAAAAGAATTTTGAATTGAGTGGATAATTTTTGATGTGACATATGATATCTGATAATTAAACTTACAACTCATAACCAAACACACAACTCAAAAATCTATTAAAAGTTCATAA